GTGAATTACGTCTTTCTCAGATAATATCAGAAACTTCTGTTGGAGGTCGTCTATTGTTTATATTCATATATACAATCATGTATGTAATTGTAATTGGTTCTCTAAGCGTTTATTACACTGCCTTTTTCTTCATATTTGTTAAATATTGTATTCAAAAGAACAAAAGTTATTTTCGAACGATATACTGAAAGGATGTGTAGTGTAAATGACCAATTGACTATCAGGCGTGAAACAGTTGTGATATTAATATATGATGAATACTGTTGATGAAGAGCAAAGTATTTGTTTTTCCAATGAGTCGCAATACATGATAGTCACTGCTTCGGTTTTAGGCCCGTTACGAAGCGTTCAATGACAAAGATGAAATGAGCCAGGCGTTGATCGCCAAGGGACAGAAGATGAGCGAGAAGTGTGATCCTGATGATGTGACACAAATCTGTGACCGTCTGAGGAAGCTCAAGGACAGATGGAATGATACTAAAGACCGTGCGCAAAAACGAAAGGTAAAGCTTCGTAATATAGCCTTGAGTCCCACAAGAACAACCGGCACCATCACAAGTATCAAACGTGGTGCGCAAAACTGATCATTCAGTGATAAATCTAAAAATCTGGTCGAAAAATGAAAGATTGTCCACAACCATTTGGTAATAATATGACATAGATGTCATATAGTGACGTGAATTTAACATGTTATCTCTAAAGATGTCACTAATTTGTGTATTAGAAAACAATGTACACGTTATAATCTTAAATCGTGAAGAAGTGGTTTACTGGTGAATTTTCTTTTCTGATATTTCTTAAATCGAAATAAAAATACAAAATAACACAAATAGTAATTAATTAATTGAATGCATTATTTGCTTTAGGAGAAATTGTCTGAACATCTGGAAAACGTAGATGAGTTCCATGGCACTCTAAAAACGTTTACTGATTGGCTGAACAACGCAGAAATTGCCATGCGTAACTTTAAATACCCAAGCAAGCTAGTAGACAGAGTCACGGTACAGCTCGAGGAACATAATGTAAGTAAAAAGGATGATACATACGTTCACCATCAGATACTAGGATATGACGGTGAAAAAATCCGGAAAATATATATCAAGGTCATGCACGAATATGTCTCTGATTTTCCAAGTCCTGTTTATTGTGTACTTGGTAATCCGGAATTGTATTGCGTAATGTTACAGGATGTGTACGTGCCTTCAAACTTTAAACAAATGAATGAGCTATTTAGATAAACTAGTTGGTTAATGAATGTTTGTAATATAATTACTTTTGATAATGAAAGTAGATAGTATAAGAAGTTATTCGTTTTAACAGGATAAATCTAGGCTTAATAATATTATTTCTACGGACACTTCTTGGTGAAATACATATTTGATATGAAAATCAATGCTTAGTCAAACTATTCTCCGTTTAAAGACCAAATATTGCATTTAAATTCAATTTGTAGAAAATGAAAATGGAACTTGATCAACATTCCGAGCGAATGCAGACATTGGACAGAACCGGAAGTTACCTAAAACATTTCTGTCGGAAGCAGGATACTATTTACATAAAAAATCTCCTAGTGGGCATACGGTTACGATGGAAGAAACTCCTTCGAAGAACTGACGAAAGAGGGCGTCTTCTCACGCATGCGCATAGGGAGGATAAAAGGGTGTGTATTGCATATCGGTGATATCAGGTTTAAAATTGGGATTGATATGCGGGCGATACTAAAGATTCAAACATAATGTATATTCAAATTTTACCTTCGTACAAATACTGTTTGTGACGTAGCGTAAATTCAAATTTTACCTTCGTACAAACACCGTTTGTGACGTAGTGTAGTTTAAAGATCAAATTGTCCGTGTGTTATGTATTACGGTTTGACCTTTGGGGTTGACCTGTTATTATTTAAATAATTATACACATGTTGAAAATCTTGACGAAATATTCTGCCGTTATAACCGTTATGAAGTCGTCTAACCTCGGGCTATTAGTCTGGTCCGTGGGCATGCGCTGTCATTATCACTCAACCTTCTGTTCTATCATTGTCTTCGCCAGTTCTACGATGCCTGGAAGGGTCTTTGTGATTGGCTAGACGAAAGTTCAAAGACAGTGGCAAGGTTCATGTCGCCCGTGGCCAAGGGGTCAGCTACGAAAGAGAACATCGATGACTTGAAGGTAAGGTATTATCATTAGCGATGCGTTGATGTAGGTGTGGTTGAAGTGTAACAATAATGCTATCATTGGCTTCCCGAAGTTGTGAAAAGGGAGATTTATTAAGTTCTTTTGAGAAAAGGAATATTTACTACTGTGGATTGAATGGATTTAGTTATTACATGAAACGGAAGACAACCGTCATCAAATTCGTTGTAAGTATATTAATATACATATATAATTATGAATAATATGAATTTTCTAAGATTATAGGCATTAATGATAATATCCGTTAAATATCATAGAAATAGTAGTACAAGAAGTTTAGTAAATACAACGTAGGCAAATTGGCATTAAATAGGAAACAAATCGCGTTATTTGGCAAACATTGAAAATAATTACACATATCAACAAAGCCCTCATTATGTGTAAACATGTTTGCACTTCAGCATTAAATATTTACCTATATGTATGCATTATATATTTTGTACGCTATACGTAAACTAATAAATTACCCACTGCTTGATATTACAATTACATAACATTTACATTATGCTTCATAGCATTTCTAGTTTACTATGATAGAAATACAGTTTGGTTTGTTTCCCATGAACACCATGTGTGTTAACAAACACATGTGTTGGTGTAATGTAAGGTACTGCAAGGGGATATTATTCTCAGCTTACTGAACTATTAGATACGAACACGTGGACATAGTATATATAAACACGTTACACCAATTAACAAAACAACTGTAATGTATTTTATATCAACACATGCTACACACACAAAGTGCTAATTGTATTGTATGAAATAAAACACGCGACACCAATAGGAACATGTCCCTTTATTGTACACTGAATTTTAAAATATGCTAACAGAATTGCATGCAATTTCCAGAAAATCTTTGCTGAGGCATTTCACAAGGTATTTTAAGTGTTTTATCCAACATGGTGAACGTGCTTTTCCCATCACGTTGTTGTCTCATCATTCTCATCTCTGTACATTCAGCGGGTTTTTTTTCATTCAATGTTGCGATATTTGAATCTGCTGAGTTATCATTATCATTTGTTTTTATGGTTCTGTATGATGTTATACGTGGTTTTATTCATCTAGCTTTGTTCACAGTTTTTAATTTGCAAATTCCTATTGAGTCATTGTTTGAATTTTCTCCCGAAACGCAATATATGTTTTTTATCACTGTTAATCATTTACCATTCATTTATGTTATATTTGTTTATATTTGCGTAACCATATACATACATGTGGTGTAGGGATCAATATGTTTGTCTTGATGACTAGTTAAATGTTATCGTTTATTTTCTGTTGTTATTGTGTTGGCACGGGATCTGTATGCACCCTTTCCCTGTTATTTTCCTGTTTAAGTGAATTACGTCTTTCTCAGATAATATCAGAAACTTCTGTTGGAG